TGTACGCTGTGGTGTTTACCATTTGTTAATTGTAGACAGAAACGAGACTTGTCGAATGACTCCACTGCAATTACAGATCCTGATAATAAAAACCATTGTGCCCGAGGAATTTGGGAAGTTTTCAGCACGTTTGTCTTTGTTTTAGTTTACGTTTTGCAATAAGATAATAATATAATGTTTACTGATACTGTGCATTTTTTATTAAAACAATTATTTACCGTCAATTTTTTTTTCAAAATTTAGGTGAGATTTTGAGACCAAAATCAAGGCCAACTTTAGTTACTCGCTATCATAATAGCTGCGAACGAATGATAAAACCTAAGTGAATGGAGGTGGCATTCCTTTCGCATCGTCTTTTTGTTTCTTTGTCTTTTCCCCTAAACTTCTTACAATTTTAACATAAAACCCCCTAAAATAGTACGCAGTTTCACATACCAGTACAGTTATCCTCTCCACTGAAACCTTCGGCACAAATACAATCAGGAATACCGCTGAAATTTTCACAAACTTTGTTTCCGGTGCAAGGAGGATCACAGATGGCATCAATAATTGCTGTCAGTAAAAATAAAATGACATTCTTATATGTTAACATAAATTATTTTGAACCGGGATTGCTGTGCAATATTACAAAAAATTGGCTTTTAAGCCATCAAGAATGGTATGTTTGAAATTTATCCAACCGATTCACATTGCCCCAAGTCAACCACTTCCCACAGAATGAAGCAACTAAGATCGTTGATACCTCTATTTGAGATTATCCCAAGTCTCCCTTCGAACATTTGCCGAAGCAAAGAATAACAATATTACAGTATATATAAAAAACACACTTGCATCCGAAGGTGACTTTACTTCTTCATTTAACTCACCTGTACAGGTTGTACCATCCCCTTCAAAGCCCTTATAGCAGCGACAAACATAAGACCCGTCTGTGTTGGTGCAAAGTGCGTTTGGGTCACATTCGTTTTCTTCAAGATTTGAACATTCTTTTATGTCTGCGCGGAGAGAAGTTAGACAGTTTAGCTTATCTCTCAAGCCTAATGGATCCGGCATTACAGCCAAGGACTCTCTCAGTTCCCTTAACATGAAGTAATGAAGGATATTGCTAATCCTGCTTGATAAGACACAAAATAGAACATAACAAGTAACCCTAAAACCCACGAATTCGCCAATTTTTGCCCAAACTTATTTTAACAGCGATGCCATTTTCTTCGCAGAGAGAGCACCCTGAAATTTTATTGTTGTGCAAAGGACACAAATAATTGACATGATCAGGGCTCGACTAGGGACGTCTCGGTTCAACGTGCCAGTTTTTTCCTTAGGAAAAATGGTAGCAAGTGAAAATGTTGACTAAATATTTGGTAAAGAGGTGATTTAGTCTACCTGTACATGTCTTGCCGTCACCTTGGTAACCTCGGATACAGCGACAAGTATACGATCCATCAGTATTGGTACACAGAGCGTTGGGATCACATCCGTTCCCATCGGAGTTATCGCATTCATTAAGATCTGATATGAATTCAACAGAGGACAAGTTCAGCTATCGTAACAGTGTACAATATCTTCTTAAAATCAAGGAAACGAATTTCAGTTTTATTCATTTCAATTTTACTCATTTTTCTTCCTTAGCACGATGGATAAGCAAATATCAAGAGTAAATTAGAAGGACAGACAATTTAACAACAGGACCAAGATCAATTTCGTTTAGTCCAATATCATTTCGGTGCTGTTTTACTGGTGCGAAACTTGGACAGTGATTCAAATGGATGAGAACATATGAGCTCAAAAATGATTTTTAAGACAATGTATGCGGAAAAAAAAGAGATGATGAGGAGAGGGAGCGTCGAGACCTTGAATGAGGAGGTAGCAAGAGGACGACCTAGAGAGAAGAAAGAGCCTTGAGACTAGTGTACAATACGACCACAGAAAGTTACGAAACCTTGCTGAAAAGAGCTAAGTTAACTACTTTACTAAACAGGAGGTTGCAAGATATACTCATTTTGATGTTTAAAGTRAAAAACAAATTAACTATGGACCAAATTGCAGATATTTTTAATATCAATGAGGACAATACTAAGAGATATAACCTAAGAAATGCGGATTTTGTCTTACCTCGGTTTAATACTGTTACCTATGGAAGACATTCTCTCAGATTTCTCGGACCACAATTGTGGTCAAAATTAAGCAAGGGGGAGAGAAATATTGAAAATTTGGCATACTTTAGNAGGGTGGAAAGATGTGTCCCCAATTAGTGCTTACAGGCAATAGAACGACTACACAGTTAACAAAGGTTATGTATGTATGTAGAGGACAGTCGAAGATCTTAGGGAGTAGCCATTGTTTTGGTGGATGGAGTTACCTAGAAGGAGAGAGAAAGGGAGCCACCCTATTTTCCACCCAGGAGAAAAAAGCACGATGATGAAGATCGACGATTTTATGGATTTTTGACACGCTATGTCTAGTTTCTTATACACCAAAACAATACTTTTCTACCGTATTGTTGGCAGTTAAAGTCTTTTCGTACTGCGTCTTCGATTCACCAAAAAACAACTCTCATTGAAACACTCTCCCACGAACCTGTGCAGTTGTATCCGTCACCTTGGTAACCAGTATCACAAACGCATTTTGGAGCTGCATCAACCTCCTGGCAAAACGCAGTAGGACCGCACGAAGGTGAACAGCCAATTGGGACAGCTGGAAGATAGAAGATAAGATGGTTTAAGGACATTTGTATGTTGAAAACAACATAGGGAAAAAGCATTTCTTACGTTTGCAAGTCTTTCCATCGCCCGCAAAGCCTTTTAGACATCGACAGACATAGGATCCTTCCGTATTCGTACACAAGGCGTTGGAGTCGCACTCGTTTCAAATTGCGCATTCATCAAGGTCTGAGTTAGAAAGATGCAGAGAAACGCTTTGACAGTTGACATATTAAACAAAAGTTAACAAGAAAAGCAAACAACATTTTGTTTGAAAAGCAGCTATAAGCTTTTGAAAATTTACCTGAGCAGTTTTTACCATCGCCTGAGTATCCTTTTTGACAGCGACAAACGTGAGAGCGTTAGCCCTTCGTCGTTCGCTCCGACGAAGAGCTAACGCTCGAAACGTCAGCTTTTGTAATCGTTACGGTGGCCAATTTACCATTTCAACTTTGTTGATATATCTAAAAAAGATATAGTTTGTTACGAGTGTCTTACCTGTGCAGTTTCTACCATCCGCTTCAAAACCTTTTATGCATCTGCAGACGTAAGACCCTTCTGTGTTTGTGCAAATAGCGTTCAAGTCGCACTGGTCAACATTTCCACATTCATCAACATCTAGGGGTACAAAAGAAATACGATTGCAATTTTCCTCTGCAATTTTCTCCGTCCCGACTGAGCCCACTATACAACAAATTCTTCCATCGCCTCTGCTGTGTGACGAAGGGCTAACGCTCTAAACGTCAGCTATTTAACTCTTTATGGTGGCCAATTTACAACTTTAACTTAGTTGATATTACCAAATTACCTTGTTACCCTTACCGACGCAGCACCACAGTTTCTTTAGAAACTTACCCCTCCCCCCCACTATACAACAACCAACATATCATCCCTTTAGCGCTTCTGCACATTCCATAGGATGGTAATTGTTTGTTACAGACTTAAGCATTCATAAAAGCTTTCTGTCTTGCAACAAGATAACGAAAAGAGAAGAATATTTTTAACCTTCCGTGCTGAAGTCTAAATAATCAAGTTGCTTCGATCAATAAGATTAATACCCGAACTTTACCTGTACATCTCCTGCCATCACCTTTGTAACCTTGAATACAGCGACATATGTAAGATCCTTCAGTGTTGGTACACAAGGCATTGGTGTCACATTCGTTGGCACCTAGACTGGCGCACTCATCGACATCTAGGAAGATTCAAAACGGGTTACCATGTATTTCAGTGAACATCCACATTATGATCAAGTTGGAAGGTTGCCAAAGGTGCGCACATGCTACCGTGGTAATACTGCCCGTGGCGGCCGTGCGCGCAAATAGGCATTTTTCAAGCACCTACCTGTGCAGTTATATCCATCACCTTGGTAACCAGACTTGCAGGAGCATACAGAGGATTCATCGTCTTCCTGGCAAACCGCGTTTTGACCACACGATGGAGAACAGCCGGCTGCAACCGCTGAAAGAAAAGTAACGAGTTTCCAAAAATGTTTTCGGTTTAAAGTGACGAAAAGAACGCCGAGACAAGGATTACCTGCGCAGTTTCGTCCATCACCCTTAAAACCTTTGCTACATCGGCAGACATAAGATCCTTCAGTGTTTGTGCACATCGCATTTGGATCACATTCATTTGAACTTTGACATTCATTCACGTCTAAAAAAAGAAAGTGAACGAAGTTGAGTAACAAGAAGTATCTGATTTTTATGTAGGACTGTCTCATCGTCATCGCCTTATTTCCTCTGCTACATAAGTAGGGTTTATTCTTGCGAGGATCGCTTTTATACATTTCATGAAACCGCAGTACACATATATAGTTTTCATTTATTCAAAATTCATTGATTTATTTCCTAAAACTGTTTGAAAACACGACTGCGAGTCTAGGTTTCAAAACGAAAGAATCTCTCCACAAAGGTGCTCAGTCCAAAGCCTGGAAATAAAATAAGTTCTATTTCAATTAAAATAATTCTCCTAAAACTGTCTGAAAGCGATCCTCGCAGTAAAAGACCCTATGTGGTAGTGGTAGGGCACTGCACCGGTATCGCGAAGGTCATGGGTTCAAATCCCGTGCGAGCCTGAATATTTTTTAGGCTTTATTTCCACTGCTACATAAGTAGGGTTTATTCTTGCGAGGATCGCTTTCATACATTTCATGAAACTGCAGTACACATATATGATTTTCATTTATTCAAAATTCATTGATTTATTTCCTAAAACTGTTTGAAAACACGACTGCGAAAACGCGAGGTCTAACAACAAACCAGCCTCAGCCAGACTGGGGCTGTTCTAAATCCAGTTGAAATTGAATGGCGACGAATCAAATATGTAGTGCATCGGGCACACCTACCATTAAGTCTCTTCACCGTCAACAAAAATGCACAACAATTACTAGAGGGTGGAAAGATATTTAAGTTCTTTTACTATACCACTGCAGTTCTTGCCATCACCCTCGTAACCTCGAATGCAGCGACAGATGTGGGACCCGTCAATGTTGGTACACAGAGCATTAGAGTCACACTCGTTTCTATCAGGATTATCGCACTCATTGACATCTAGAAAGATTGAAAACTTATAGGATCAATGAAGGTCGTCACAGTTTGGTCAAACATAGGAAAGTGGAACCGCAGGAATAAACAGGAAAAACACATTTCATTTCGACAAAAACAAAACGGTACTTTATTCTTGAAAGTCGTTATTGTCTAATAAAAAGATGAGAATGAGGCAAGAGAACAGCTTCAAAATGGGTGTATATTTAAGATAACGCTACCGGTATTCATTTACAAGGGTAGGTAAAGCAGAGAGAACCGTGAGGTCTAGTTCCACTATGCGCACACGCGAATTTTACCTCTGCACGTCTTTCCATCGCCCACATAACCTCGAATACATCGACAAATGTAAGATCCTTCAGTGTTGGTACACAAGGCGTTTGTGTTGCATTCATTGCGCTCTAAATTGTCACACTCGTTGAGATCTATAACAATTTATAACAAATCAGCAAACCCATTTCAATAGCGAAAAAAATTCAGCATACGTTTGTTTATACCATGAACTGCACACGCCTGACAGAAATCCAGAACTGTTTCTTAGTGAGACCAACCTGTACAGTTGTATCCATCGCCTTGGTAACCAGACTTGCAGGTACAAACGGGGAATCCGCTACCAACCTGGCAAAACGCGTTAAGACTGCATGATGGAGAACAGCCGGGTAAAACAGCTGAAAAAGACGGATTGTTACCTAAGTCAAAGTGAAAAAAGGTAAAAAAGGAAAATCGATGGACTTGTTACCTGTGCAATTTTTTCCATCACCCTTAAAGCCTTTAATACATCGGCAGATATAGGATCCTTCAGTGTTTGTACACATGGCGTTTGGATCACACTCATTTGATTCAGAACGTGCGCACTCATCGATGTCTGCAATCAAGAAAGAAAGCTCATTTATACGGATGACCAGATAAATTCTTAGAGCTGTCGAGATCCGCACGATGGAGAACAGG